ACCGTCTTGAATTTATCAGTATTTTTTAAGAACCGCTTACCTGAAGTTCGGCAAATTTTCTGATCTATGTATATTCATAATTCTATAGCTATCATGCGGTGCTATATTATGGTATCAAAAACCGATTTGTTTACATTTTGATGGGCGTTGGCCAAATTTGGATTTTTCAGATATAATCCTAAATAGGACCTAGATTATTTAATACTCTAGTAACCTCAAGTCCGTGCTCTGTCACAATGTTTCATTGTGATTAATCAACACTCAAAGGGATAAAATATCAAATTTGGGGTGAATTTGAATGAAAGGGAACTTGGAGTGAAGAGCGCACTGCCCACTGGACGATTCTGAAGCCTGGCCAAGTGAGTGGGGTATGGGTTTATTGGATTGAACGTCATTTCCAATGTATATATTGATACATTCAAACCATTGGCATTTGAGATAAGACAGAGATAGGATGCGGAGGGCCCGCTTAGGGGAAGCGTAACCCATGTTATGGTTTCCATTTATCAAATAGTTCAGATAGGCTGGAAATGACATGTTCATAGTGAGAAAATGTACCATATGGGGCCCGTTCACTGATCAAAATCAGATTCACATCGTCAGACCCTGCCCAAGAATAAGGGAATTGACGATGACTTGTCAAGTTTTATTTTGAATTTGCGTTTTGCATTTAATACTCTAGTAAATCTCGCGTCCGTGCTCATTCACAACAGTGTGAGGTGTCAATACTCACTGGGTCATATGTCTTAGACCAGTTCCAGATTAGTTTGCTATTAATATCTTCTGCATCGCAGTTCGCGATAGATTACTAAATATGGGTTCTCTTTTCCGACCATAATAGTGTGAGGGAAGGGGGTGAGTTCTGGATCAACAATGGAGGGGGGCCCATCGGCATTTGTGGGCAGACCGTCCAAAGCCCATTCCTCACAGATCGGAGGCTGCTCACGCAGGCCAACACCATCTTCGTGTGGCCTTCGCTTTGTGAGTGGGGGGCTTTGGAGCGGTTTGTTTGCGAGTGCTGATGGGCCCTTTTCTATTGTTGATCCAGAGTTAAACGTTGCGATATGAGAGCGAATAGAGGCAAATAAATAGGGAAGACAACACCATGACCCAAATAAGTAACCAATGCATGCGGCTCACACTTAACTTGTTCTATTTCTTTCTTTCTTCCTATCATGTACTAATATTAACTGCCTGAGGACAAATGGGAACACGACCAGAAGATCAATAGGAGAAAAAGAAAATTCGAACAAGAAAAGAAGAATTAAACTTGCACCGGCAAGAGGAAGCAGACAGAAAGGATCATGCCGGTTGGAGACAGCCAATGTATACTGGACGAAGCTTGTATCTAGGAAAAGTCGTATGTGCAGGAAACCGTAAGTAGGATAATAATCGTAAAAGGTGTGTGCTTGCTTGATAAGATCCTAACTTTACTTTAAATACACGGTAGGAATCGAATATCCATTTATGATTAAGGTTTTGCCCATTTTTCAGTGGGAGTGGCAATACTCATTGATGAGTGATTTATCGTACCCATTTATTAGTAACTGTTAGCAGCTAATGATTAATTGATTTACCTATTTTAGAATTACCTATACTTCACATCAGAACCTCATTTCCTTCAATTACTACTCCGTCGCAGCACACACCTTATATGGATCGCTAACCTTTATTTAGTTTCAGCATTTTCGACATTATAATCAAAAGGTGAGTTTTAAAAGTATAATTACCATGCATATAGATAAGTTAATGTACCAGAACCTGGACGGACACGAGCCTACCCAGGGGAGGACCCGGATACGACCACCCATGTGTGTCTAGAGTATCGCACGAGCTGACGAGTGCAACGGGAAGGACAGTAGGTGTATAGACTAGGGGGTTGGTCCCTAGATAAGCCTTCTTAGCGGAAGGCACAGCCTATGCACTGAACAATTACAATTACAATTACAATCAAAAACCGATTTGTTTACATTTTGATTATAGGCCCTTTTCAAATGTTACGCAAGATATGACTTGTACTTTATTTTTCCGATGTAGATCAGAGCAAATCAACTCTGAGTAACTCTCAGCTTAAGAGGCACTGGCATTAAAGTCGTCCTCCCCCTTGACTAAAATAACGAAAATAGTGACCAAATAGTGACTTTAGAACAAGGGGTAGATCACTCATCCACACACCAATCTTGGGTCATCTTTTTTGTCAGTGTTCCGCAAGTGGGCCGCAGGTGTGCCGATTGTGCCGGTCATAGAGCAAGCTGCGATTGTTTGTCAAATGTCCAACCCGGCAACCCGGTATTTCTTTTTTTTTCCTTTATTTAACGTCGGTCTCTGTTCCGCAATCTAGTGCCAATCACCGACTGACATCGATTGCCATTCATTGACGGCAATCGAATGTGCAGGAAGGCAGCTTCCACACCTGCGTAGGATATCGCACCCATTCAAAACACATACATGGTTTTACTTCCCTTCCGAAGGAAGACGTGACCAGAGATTTTTATGCCTCAGAAAAATCCCACCGACCTCGGCTGGGATTGAACCCAGACCCATTGGGGTGAGAAAGCAGTCACGCATACCACTACACCACCGGCGCCGGCTTTCCCGGTATTTCTGACACCTTGCATGTTTTGGTTTGAAATCGCAAGGATAAATTAAAGCCCTCTAGTAGCCCTTTTACCACAAACGAAATAAATTTGACACATTAGAACACCTATATGTAGCTGGCAACCAAGGAGAAATTGTGTGGTAAGTACAATTATACCACAGACAAACAGACATAACTCTCGCAAGTTGTTCCTCGAACAAGCATTTAACGGTCAATTTAAAAGTATCATAGTTGGTAGTACCGCCACCTGTGGCGCGCATAGTCAATGCCCTTGCGTTTGACGTTTGCACACTACTGCCATCTGTTCAGCGTACTCAGCGTTGCCAGATATACCGATTTATCGGTATTTATACCGATTTTCAAACTTGATACCGATGTACAGATAAGGTTTATCAGAATACCGATTTTTAAGTTTTAATACCGATTTATACCGATTTTTTTTTAATAAATAATCAAAAATGATTACTGCACGCCCGCGCTGAATCTATTGTGAGAGGCTTTTATCTTTTTAAGCATTCAATTTTTTTAACCCTGCTTTATAAAAATTCTTCTTTAAAAATTTCTTATGCTTGATACTCTTTCGACTAATGCTTCTATTTCCTCACCTTTTTTGGCTACCAAGGGGTCGAGGAATTTTCGTCCACCTTACCCTGTAAATTATTTTACAATTCCTTCCGGAAATCTATTTCGACTTTCCTGGAAGCTTCTTCTGGCTGCCCTTGGAAAGTTCTTTCGGCTTCTCCTTTACCTTACCAATCAGGCTAACGCCTTGTTGTCCTCTGCTGTCCGAAGAATTCGTCTCTACTCTCCATGGATCGAGCATGGCCTCGTAGTCTCGAAGAGTCCGCAGGTCGCCTTCTACTTCGTCTTATCCCGTCAGTTTTTTCAACTTCCCAGGAACTTCAGAAATGCTTCCAGAGATTTATCATAGTTCCAAGGGTTCGATAGTTCGGACTTTTGGGTAAGTTTAAAGATATGTAAGAGTGGTAAGTTCCGATAAATTAAAGGCAGTTGCAGTAACAGCTGTTAAAATTCGAGAACCCGGAAATTTCAGGAAAGTCCAGAGAACTCCAGTGAACTAAAGGAAACATCTGAAATATTTTAGAAACTTCACAAGTCCAAAAAACTTCATGGAAATTAAATGGTTTTCAGGACACTTCCATTTGTTTCAGGAGAATTGATATAACTTAAGGAAAGCTCTGAGAACATCAGGACACATCAATAAATGAAAATTTCTGAACCTTTAAAGGAGTTCCGAGGAACTCAGGAAATTTCCAAAAACTTCAGCAAAGATCCGAGAGGTTCATGAAAACTTTGTAAACTTCAAAACAGCCCCATTAACTTCGAGAAAATTTCAAGAACTTACAATGAGTTCCAAGGAATAAAGGGATATTCCTGTGGGGTTTCAGGGATGTTTTATAAATATCTGAAATACTCCTGGATCATTTGAGCATGTAAGGACCTTCAGAGAATGTTGCTCACATCGCCCAGAAATCTATTTCTTCCAGATTTTTTCCTCGCTTCTCCTTGAAGTAGCTTGCGCTCTATGGCTTTCGCCTTTTCCAGAAGTTTCTTCCAATCTACCATAGGAAGTTTCTCCCAGTGCCTCAAAAAAGTTTCTTCCATCTTCTACAGGAAGTTTTCTCAGAAGTTTCTTTCACCTCCATAAGTCATTCTCGGTAGATTTTTTCCTACTTCTGTTGGAAGGTTTTTCCGAGCTTCTTAAGACTTCCCCTGGAATTGCCTTCCAATATTCAAATCTTTTCTGGTTTTCTCTGGGTGTGTTATCTGATTTTTTTCCGAAAGTTTCTAAAGTTTTCACTAGAAGTTTCTCTATATTTGACTTGGATGATCCTCATCGGATATTTTTCTGACATTTCTTAAATTTCCTGCAAACTTCCACCACAAGATCTTCTTTATTCTTTCTCTGGAAGTTTTTTCGATATCAATAAGAGACTTATTCAAATATTCCCGGAAATTTCTTGCGACGTACTACTTCGTTCTTAGTCCAAAAGTTTTAATTTTCGCCTACAAAAAGGCAAAAATATAAAATTAATTAAAATAGTGAATACCGATAAATACCGATTTTTTAAACATTTGATACCGATAAGCTTGGAAACCATCTGGCAACGCTGAGCGTACTACCCACCAAAGTGTATTCAACAGATGGCGGTAATGTTTTAGCAACGATGTTTTACAGTGATAAATATTCAATGTGTTATGTCTGTTTGTCTGTGATTATACTCTATGCCCAGGGAAGTCGAGAAATTTTCCAACCCGAAAAATGCCTAGACCGGACCAGGAATCGAACCCAGCCACTTCCAGTATGGTCTTGCTTTGTAGCTGCGCCTTTACCGACTGAGCTAAGGGAGGCTAATCATGCGCTAAAAACATCACTCACCGTGGTAGCTCTTGGTAGGTTCCTCCGTAGGCGCTGTACTTGTAGTGTATCAGATGGTTGGCAGATTCGTAGGTGTGTAACGCCTGGCGGGTCAGGAGGTGCCCCGTTGAACTTACGGTGGCTCTATTGCTGCCGTTGCTGTCGTGCGTCGGAGAAGCACACTGCGAACTGGTTCCGTTGGTGGCGGCGGCGGATTTCCCGCTGCTGCTGCCGCCATTCTGAGCACTTGACGACGCAAGGGCTTTGGCAAAACTTGGAATGTTGCTGGTGACGGTACGGAACTTCTTCGGCAGTACCACTTCCTGTGAAACGAATGATTCGATTGATGAAATGTTTCACTGTTAGAATTGCTTGTGAACTTACCGCCACATCATCGTTCGGGTACAGCAGCAGCTCACGCTGGGGATCATTCTGGATGAGGGTCTTATTTTTGGTGATGAATCCTTCGAAGTCAATCGGATCCACTAGGATTGGTTTGCTCTGAAAATAGGAAGAAACATGCGAAGGAAAATTAGTTGATTCATGGTTGAACTGCAAGCAAAAAATTCCCTGAAGCCACAATTTATCGCAAGAATGCAATTTCGCCGCTCCAACGGGGTGTTGCCTAATTATCTCCACTGCAGGCACGCATGACCTGAATCAGATCGGATCGCATCGCACTCATATCTGCACCGTGCCACAGAGATTCGATCGACGACGATCCTTGCGGTGGTCGTTTGTATGTGGAGGCACGAAATCGATAATTTTACTCAATTTCCGATAAATCACGTTTTGGTTGGATCGGTCGATCGAACGCAGATGTCGATTGTGCGCCGTTATGATACCGATACGCTCTGGGAACACGCTGGGAAGAGGACAGTCTAGCCCCCAGGATATGGCACGCTGATGATGACTGATCGATGTTCGGGATAGGACAAAGGAATCGATTGCGATTAAGTTCAAGCAGAGGTGTGGTAATTTCGTACCGGAGTGCTGTTGAGTCCTGTGGTCCTGGTTGGAGTTGATAATAGGGCCCACATGAATTAGGTCCCGAAGAAACATGCTCAATCTTACGGCTCAGGAAGTACGAGACCTTCGGTGCCAAGCGAATTGGGTTCTTTAGGGGTATTGAGGTAATTTCATATTCGTAATCTGCATGTCAAATGGAACCGAGATCCAGAATTTCATCAATTTTGGTACACTGGAAGAATATTAAATAAATGCGATTACATTGGAAAAAAAATACCATCTAAGCACCCCTAGGTGGGACTTTGTATGGGAGCGAGCTGTCAATTTGTAAGTTTAGTGTCAAACAGTGAAGTTATTATTTTGCTTTAAATCTTGATATAAAAATCGAGATGAATGTTCGAAAAAAAAATATCTTTATGGTCAAAAAACGAAGCTCTATCAGATGGTGTATAAAAACCGATAATTTTTTCAAAATTAAAGAACCCAATTGAAGCACTCCTCGAGACATAGGAAAATCAACGAGCCCCTCATTAAAGTATGTCAAATTTATAAGGCGAATCAAAACAATAACAAACTTTGACAGATTCTAGTTCGCACAATGGGAACAATGAGCTAGTCAAGCAATGAGCCAATTGAAAATCGTTAGTTTCGTATTGATTGTCATTAAGTAGTAGTGCTTTCAAACAATTTGCTTTTTAACCGCGTTGATACGTCCCAAGTAGTCTAGTTTGATTGTATAATAATTAAGTAGTTTGAAACAATAGAAGCGTAACGTATAGTTATGCACACCGCTCGCGTGCTGTAGAATCATACATGGCATTGCATTGTGTGTCTTTCTGACATTTATGTACAATTGAATGACCATGCAACTTGACCGCATCTCCCAACATACTAATTAGATGTGGCTGGCAAAGCCCATCCAAAATGATACACTCATAAAATACGACACATTTTTATTGGCGAATTTCCATGCAATGATTTTCATGTGTCCACACATAAACAGAATCCACTCAGAAGTACACATGAAAAATATGTGTCCGACACATACATAACATTTGTTTGTCACATTGCAAAAATTCATGTGTGGGACACATAAATATAATCACTGAATTTTTATTATTTATTTATTTCGTCAACCAACGTAGACTAGTACAACTAATACAGTTTTGTTTTCTTAAATATATATTTATATAAAAAAAAGTAGTGTCAGCTTTCTTGTCTTTTCTTTTATGAGTTGTGATTTCTTATGGAATAAAAATATTGCTTTAGTTTATGCCGAGACATTGTAAAGTCAATGGTTTCGCAGTGTTTATTGTAAGAGGCCATCATGCGGCTTAATGGCCCATATTTTGCATAATTTGTGCGATGATGTTTTATGGCAAATAAATTTCGATTTCGGAGTTGCCGAGTGGGTGCATGGAAATTTAATTTTGATAAAAGTTCTGTTGAGTCAATTCGCTGCGAAACGATATCATTTACAAATGAAACCATTGCATATTCACGACGCTCTTTTAATGTTTGTATGTTTATAAGCATGCAGCGTGCTTCATATGATGGAAGAGGAAATGAAGTCCAACCTAATTTACGAAGAGCGTATAATAGAAATTGTTTTTGTACTGATTCTAATCTTTCTTCGTGCGTGATTGAAAATGGAGACCATACAATGCTGCAATATTCCAGTATTGACCTCACATAGGCAATATATAGTGTTTTAATTGTGTAAGGGTCCTGAAAGTTATAGCAAAAGCGCTTGATAAAGCCTAGCATGTTATTTGCCCTGTGAATAATTGTATTGTAATGGTCTATGAAAGTTAGTTTAGAGTCTAAGATAATTCCTAAATCCCTAACTCTTTCACATTTGTCTACAGTTTGATTTCCTAATGCAATTGAAATGTTTGAAGTTGTTCTTTTTCTACTAAATGATATTAAGTTACATTTTTTTACATTCAATTCTAGTAGACTTTTTTTTGCACCATATGTAGAATATGTGTATTTCATTCCGGAATATATTGATGTCTTCTTCATTTTTTATTTCCAAAAAGAGCTTCATGTCGTCGGCATAAATAAGCAATTTAAGTTTTTTGAGAATGTAAGATATGTCGTTTACGTATAGAATAAAAAGGAGAGGTCCCAAATGAGAGCCTTGGGGGACGCCTGAAGTGACTTGAATTGGGCTCGATTTCTTTCCGTTGAATTTAATTATTTGTTGGCGGTTAGTTAAATATGATTCAATCCATTTCAGGAGCCCTGACTTAATTCCAATTTTTGCAGTTTAAAGAGTAACATTGGTATGTCAATGCGGTCAAATGCCTTGCTAAAGTCTGTATAGAGAGCTTCTACGTGGTTTCCATTATCCATTGCATTCAATGAATAGTCTATAAATTCAAGTAAGTTGGTCGAGGTCGAGCGACCCTTGAAAAAGCCGTGTTGCACGTCAGTAATTCTATTTTTGATTTGGAGAAATAATTTTTCGTTGATAATTGACTCGAAAAGCTTAGGAATGCAAGAGATAATGGCTATACCACGATAATTACGTACGTCAGATTTTCGACCAGATTTAAAGATAGGTACTAGAAATGAGCTTTTCCAAATTTTAGGGAAGGTTCCGGATTCCAGGGACATATTAAAAAGCCAAAACAATGGAGCAGTGAGTTCCATTGCTAGACATTTAATAAATACTGGAGGAATTCCGTCAGGTCCAAGACCTTTTGAGGCATCTAATTTTTTTAAAGCCTGCAAAATGTCCTGCACTTGAAGTTGATTGAGGCCAATGTCCCTTGAAAATTCTGGATAAAATGCAAAATAATCGCGGTCACGATCTTCTTCAGAAAATGTCGCATAAATTTCTTGAAAAAATTTTGCGAATAGATTACAGTTTTTTTCCGAACTATCACCGACATTTTCGTCTAGATGCATTATTGAAGGAAAATTGTCAGATTTTAATTTCGTTTTTACGTAATTAAAGAAGTTCTTCGGACAGGACTTTATTTCACGTTCAGTTTTTGCATTATATTCTTCAAATGCAGTACTGATAGCTAAATTCAGTTGATCGCATAGATCCAAATAAATTAATAAATTATTACTACTATTGTGTTTTTTATAAATTTTATGTGCTTTTTGCTTCCGATTTTTCAAGTTTTTTATTTGTCTGGATTTTGTGTGTTTCTGTTACGTCTTTTTTTCTTCAAAGGTATTTCTTCCGAAATTATTTCTGTTAAAATTTTGTAGAACACGTCTATACCAATTTCGACATTTCCTACATTCCTTAAAATTAATTGCCAATTGACACTGTTTAATTTAAATTTTATTTTTTCGTAGTCTGCTAATTTGTATTCAAAGACTTCTTCGTATTCGCAGTCGTTGGGTCTTTGGTTTTCAAGCATAAATAAAGAATATTCGATTGCTGTGTGAAACGCTTCATTTTTCCACAGTGGATTTAGTGATTCGGTCACACAGAAATCTTCATAAATATTCGTTAGTAAAAAGTCCAAATAGCAATTTTGTTGGTTTTTGATGTGGTTAATTTGGTTCAGTCCTAAATTAGCAGTTTTGTCAAAAATGAACTGCAATGTTTCATTATCCCCAACGACTGGGAGTAAGATACATTCATTTTCAGAGTCCAGAATGAAGTCAGCATGGCGTTGATTAAAGTCTCCATAGATGTGAACTTTAACCTCAGGAGGAAGCTCAGATAGAATTTGTTCAGCACTTTGGAAGAAGGCTTCATAAGTGCTTTTATGAGCATGGTCTGGTGGAAAATACACTGAGGCGAACACGTGCGTTTCACCGGCTATGTGTAATTTCACCCAAATATGCTCAAATTCTGTAAATTTTTGTGTAAAGATAATTTCTGAGTTAAAATTGGCCGAAAGAGCTATAAGAACTCCACCACCTGACTTCTTCTGTGTTGCATGAAAATTTCTGTCGTCTCTGAATACATTAAAGGCATTTCCAAAGATTTCTTCACTTTTTACGCTTTCGTCCCAGCTTGTTTCAGTTGCCAGAATGACCGAAAAGGATGAGCATAATAAATGTTGATAAATTTCCTTCATTTTAGCTGGGCTTTTCATGCGATTGAAATTTTGACAATAAATCAAAATTTCAGTCGCATTCTGTCTGTGTGAAGAAATTGTTAGAAATACGTCGGTTGATAAAGTATGGTCATTGTTATTATTAGTTACCTCAGTCTCATGCCGAGCATCGTTATATAGAAATAATGAGTCTTCCTGAAGGTGCGTCAGCGGCGTTGAAAATTTACAGGATTGTAAAATTTGAGGGCGGCCTCCCTAGTAGATTGTAGCCGTTGCGTGCGTTCACTGGACAGGAATGTACGGTAGGATTGCAGGTCTGCCAAGGCGTCGTTTCGAGTAATTCCAAGTTCTTCATGGACGTCCAGGAAAATTTCGTGGAGGAGATTTCTGTCTTTTGGTAGTCCTTCAGCTGCTAGCATTAGAATAGCACTGGTTTTGGTGATTCCGCGAATACATGTTGATGATGGCTGGTCATGCAGGAAGGAGAGGTAGGTCCAAACA